GAACGGACTGAGCGCAGAACCTTGGTGTAACCCCATTACAATCGAAAAATGCTCAGAGTCGCCTCCTACTGTCCTAACCCGAGTCTTAGCCCCATCATACATGTCCTTAATCGCCATAATGTACGGAACCGACACACCTTTTGCCTCCAGGCATCTCCAGAGAATTTCTCTAGGAACCTTGTCATACGCTTTCTCTAGGTCAATAAACACCATGTGCAGATCCTTCTTCCTCTCTCTGTATAGTTCCACCAACCTTCTAACAAGGTGTATAGCTTCTGTAGTCGAACGACCCGGCATGAACCCGAACTGGTTGTCGGATACAGACACTGTCATCCTCACCCTCGCTTCAACCACCCTCTCCCACACTTTCATGGTATGACTCAGTAATTTGATACCCCTATAATTGTTACAACTCTGGATATCACCTTTGTTCTTATACAATGGAACCACCGTACTCCACCTCCACTCATCCGGCATCCTTTTCCCCTTAAAAATAATATTAAGCAACCTACTCAACCACTCCAAACCTGTTCTCCCCACACACTTCCAAAATTCCACCGGAATCTCATCTGGCCCGATCGCTCTGCCCCTACTCATCTTACGCATAGCTCCCACGACCTCCTCAACCTCGATACGCCTACAGTACCCAAAGTCACGGTGACTCTCGGAATACTCCAAATCGCCTAGCACAATATCTCGATCCCCTTCTTCATTCAGAAGTTTATGAAAGTAAGTCTGCCATCTACTCTTAATCTGGGCATCTTCCATCAATACTCTACCATCTTCGTCCTTGATGCATCTCACTTGGTCCAAATCCCGAGCCTTCCTCTTTCTCAACTTGGCCAGCCGGAATAACTTCTTCTCCCCACCTTTTCCCCCCAATTCCTCGTACATACGACCATAGGCCGCAGTCTTAGCCTCTGTGACTGCCAACTTAGCCTCCTTCCTAGCTGCCTTATACCTATCCATGCACACTCGCCTCTCCTACTCACCTATGCTCCCCAGTAACTTCAGGTACGCCGCCGTCTTTGCTTCCACTTTACCTTAGAACACTTAATTCCACCACCAGTCTCCTTTGTGCCCACCAGAGACGCCCGTCGAGACCCCTAACACCTCTCTCGCAGCCTCCCTAATACAGTCTGCTGTTGTTGACCACATAGTGCTCGCGTCACCACTGCTCTTCCAAGCTCCCATAGCCGACAACCGCCTCTCCAATGCTTGGACTTTATCCTTAGCTAAGGCTCCCCACCCGATTCTCGGTCTTCCTCGAGTAGACCTTTTCCTCCTCTTTAACATAATACCAATGTCCATCACCAAGAGCCTATGCTACGTCGCGAGTATCTCACCCGGAATCACCTTGCAATCCTTGCAGAACCCTCTGTCGTAACTCCTGAGGAGGAGATAGTCAATCTGGGTCTTCGCCACCGCATTTTGAAAAGTAACCAAATGTCCCTCCCTCTTCTGAAAGCTAGAGTGCGCAATCACCAACCCAAAAACCTTAGCGAAGTCCAACAACGATGTACCTCCTCTGTTCCTCTCCCCAAAACCAAAGTCTCCATGCACCTCGCCATAACCACCTGCGGTCGACCCAATATGCCCATTGAAATCCCCTCCTATGAATAGCTTCTCAGCAGGCGAAACCTGACACACAATCTCATCTAACCCTTCCCAGAAGCACCGTTTAACCTCCTCATCTAGGTGTTAGGAATTCCTAGATTCCGTGGTTTTAGCACGGTCACTTTAATCATACCTGACTTAATTAATTTGTTTTAATTACGTATTTTAGAACCTATGTGTATTTTTACCTTTTACCGCTTTTAATCATGGTGTTATAGATTTATCTTTGAAACAAATCACATGTGCATAAATCTATTTTAATTAGTGTGCTAAAAATCATGTCACGCGTACATGTACACAATTAATAATATTTTATTATTATTAAGATTGGTTAGCCAAAGTCGCGCGAACGCGTACTTCGATTTTTTTGTTTTTTGGGATCGTAATTATGTCATGCGAACGTGTACATAATCATGATGATATATTAGAACGGGCCTAAAAGTACTCTAACAGTGTTCATTACTCTTCCTAAATTTTGAGATTATTGTAATGTCATGAATTATGGAAGTTGGAATTGTGGGAGCAAAGGGATTTATCTTCTACGGATACCTTTGTAACGAAAGATTGTTCATTGGGCTCACATTCTTTCAACTAGCCCATCGATCAAATACTTCATAGACCAGTATAATTTGACAAAACCAAATTTCACTTTCCTAAATAGCCTAACTACTGTAACTATTAATGTAAAGTAAAAGAAGCTAAAATTCTATTAATTTTTATTTCTAATCATATTGAATTGCTCAAGCATTTAAGAACACGTTATGGACCCAAATTTCTAACATAAACCTAAAACATTATAAAAAGATTACTCTATCTAAACTAGAATTGATCGAACCCATCCAAGTAAACTCATTCACGTTAAGAACAAAAATATATTTGAATATGAAATCTGCCTCAATGACCAACCAGGAAAAATCGAATAGCCCATTTAAGTAATCAACGTCAATAATCCCAATAACACCATAAAATTAGTAAACAAACCAATTCACATGTAAAAATAAAAGGGGGAAAAATATTGGCAAAGGGGCAATGAATCAGTCAAAAGTATTCATCAAACTAGTGAATTTATCGAAACAGAATGAAATCTAAAATAAGAAATGGAACCTTTAAGAGAATTTTTAGCCGGAGTCTTCTCCAATACTCGATTCAATACAAAACCTCCAAAGTGAACTGTGCAACAATAGAGAAAAAGGCCGATGTTGAACCAACGAAGGGAAACGAACAAATCCTCGAACCCGACCTCGATTTTGCACCAAAAAAAAAAACTCGACTTGAACCAAAACTCTAGCTATGGGGCTGTTTTTTTTCTTTGAGGTGAGAATTTGGGTTTCAATAGCTATTTTAATAGAGTGAAAACAATTGGTTTCAAGATTTCATCACTGGTTTTGCCTTTGGAGCTTGATTTAGTAGAGTTTTCATGCATAGAAATTTCTGAATTTCTTCTACTGGAAGCTTGAAGAACAGGAGAAGAGGTGTTCCTTTTCTTTGCCTATGTTTTCTCCTCAATCTCCTCCCCTTTTCGTTCTATGTTTTCCCGTTTCACTCCTTTCAAGCTACTGCGCAGCTTTTTCTTTTTTCTTTTTACTCTCAGGTCCTGCTCTTTTTTGTGAAAGAATTGGCTTTTATGTGATAGGGTAAATGAGTATGGGCCAAGGGGAATGGGCTGTCCAATTTGGGCCAAAGGGGAATGGGCTGTCCAATTTGGGCCTTTGGTGGCCAGATTTGTACTAAAAATTAGCCCAATTAGCCAAAAATCTATCAACCCAATATCAACTCTGGCCTATTAAATAAAAACAAAGATAAAGATACTACCAAAATATTAATTAGTCCTACTTAAGTAGAATAAACTATTAAAATAAAACTAACCGTTAAAACAAAACTATTTTTGGTATTTTCAAATAATAATTAAAAACAATATCTTTCTAAAAAATACCTAATACTTGAATTAAACAGAAAAAATGATTTTTTTTTGTGTGTGTTTTCAATTTTATTTCTTAAAACTAAAATTGATATCTATAAACTCAAATAAATATTAAAAATACTATGAATACTAACAATAATTCTAATGTGCGGGTCAAAAAATATGTGCTTACAATTTTGACGTGTTTTAAAATTCAGGCATCATGCTTCAAATTCTTGCAGAGTGATTTGAAATTTTAGCTTTAAAATTCTGGCAGTGTATTTTAAAATTCTTGTACTTTAAAATTTTGGGTTGTGCTATTTTTCTAAAACTTTTCTTAACAGTGTCAAATTTCAAACGGATCATTTAGTACAAAATTACCCAAATAAGCAGAGGGAGTTAAAGCCCATAAATTGCTATACTTCAGCCCATTTGTAGCATAAGCCTAGTTTGAGTGCGGTAAGTGAATTCGAGCCCATCTTTGTAATGGACTAAAGAATTTCAACCAATTATCATAAACTTATCTTTTCCAATGTTAAGTTAATAATGTGGTCAATTTACCATAACAACTTGTTTGGATGATTGTTATCTATCGTTTCTTAATATATTGTATTGTTTCGTTTTGATGTCTACAATGTTTGGATAGATGTCATGCACCAACAATATGTAACGATCGATTTAACGATACGATACAATAAAATTTAAGTAACAATCAAAACAAACATTGTATTTAAAGTAATAGTACGATACAATACAATATGTAACAACCATCCAAACAAGCTGTAAGTGTTATCAGTGACGTACGTAAGATTTTTTGTAAGCGGTGTTTTCATTAAACGTAATAAATAAATAAATTAATATAATATCATATTTTAAAAAATAACCAATAAAAAAAATACAACTTACAAAGGAAGCAGTCCAATTTAAAAATTGTATTGTGCTGGTCTCTTTAGTTATGACTTAGGATCCACTAAATCAGTACTTTGATACTAAACGGTTTAAACCCCTTTGGGCACTTATTGTTTTTACTTTTTAGACGAGGCATAAAAGTATTAATTAAAACATAAAATAAGCCTGCAGAGGTTCGAACTCGTTGCCACAGATAAAATTCTTCAGTTTCTAACCGGTTAAGTTCATTACAAGTGTTGTCACTTTATTTGTTTTTACTGGTTTCTTGTTTCTTTATTTGAATTTTATACAAATAATTATTAAAGATTTTAGACGAAGCGGTGTCACGTGACACCGCTTGGGCCAATATAAATCCGCCCCTGAATGTTATAGTCCCCAAATAACATCTACATAAGAAAATTATTTTCCGAGAGTCCTCTGGAAATAAGAGATTGACAAACGTAGTACTAAGAATTGTCTTAACATAGTACATTTCCAACTGGATACAATAAAGTACATACATATATAGTACATACATCATAAATTTCAGCACAAGTAATTATCAAAAATAAACATTTATAAGTATAATCAAGAATAAACAGGGAAATAAATATAACACTCAATTCATAATTGATACATACAAGCAAAACAAGTGGGAAAAATGCTTAAATAAAGAAAGAAAAAGAGAAAAATGATTTATAAAATTAACAATAAACATACATAAAATTAAGTCATCATCTGTTGCATGGACTCTCCAAAATTCTGTCGTACCCGTGGCGGATCTTCCAACATGCACTACTTTTAAAGGATCTGACATGCGTCCGACGATATTTTTCGAGAGTTCGAGCAACATATAGGTCTTCATACATGCCTCCAAGGTCTTTCTGCAAGATTTACGCAATCCTTGTGCCTAAAACAATCAACTAAATGATCAATTGTCATTCCTGAAGCTTGCATAAATGAATACACAATCACTGGCCCAACAAATCGAAATCCTCTCTTAAGCAAATCTTTGCTAATTGTCTCTGCTTTTGGAGTTCTTAATGGAACATTTCTTGGATATCTGAATCTGTTAATTATTGGTTTGTAATTCACATAGTTCCACATGTAGCTGCTAAATGATCCAAATTCTCTCACAATCTGCATGTTTTAATTGATTGATAAGAAAATGTAAGTAAATTACCATATCGATCTTGATGTATGTTAAAGTGAAAATTTGATGGAAATGTAAATTATTGCTCGGACTCTTCAGAAATATCGTGAGGTGTGTGTCGAATATGACATCAATTTTGAAAAGTGTGTGCAACAAATAAAGGACTTAAACTTGCCTTGACTATGCATTTGGCATTGTCAACTATGCATCTAACTCTACTTTCTGCTAAATTGAGTTCTGTATTTGAGAATAATTCTTCAATTTCTCGCTCTCCCATTTTGGCCACATGGTTTGCATTAAATCCAGCAAAAGCTTCTCTGTATTTCCACATTAAGAAAAAGTGTTTAACTTCACAGTATAGATTTTTGATAACTAGATAACTATGCGTAATAAGTGAAACTAGTAACATGAAAAATAAAACAAGCAACTTGCTACAACAAAGTAAATTACATTGGTAATGAAATACGTATTTCTACTTATAGTGTATATAAATTAAATAAAAAATACATTCTCGAAATGTTCTTTAATGTAAACAGGAAAATAACAAGAGGGGTTGCTCAGATGGTCAGCACCCCGCCTACAACCCAGGATCTTACGTAAATAAGAAAATACATTCTTAAAATGTTCTTTAAAATTAAGGTTCAAGAAAATAGAGGATTTATGTACCTTATTTGTTCCCTTCTCTTCAAAATTTCAGTCCAATTGAAATCCATAAGCATTCCACATAACGCAAGAAGCTCGAATAATTGACTGTTCAATTTATTTATTTACATGTTAATAAACTTTATTATATTAAACTTAGAGCTTTAAAATCATAACTTATTACTTACTGATCGTCATAAACAGGAACTCCCCAACAATCATCATGGAACTGGACGTAAACCTTATCTGCTTGTAGCAAATTCAAATAAATTAGTCTTTGATAAAGGACCAATCAAGAATTTTTATGGAAAATGAGTGGTTTTATCATTCTTTTTTGTTGGGTTGGTGAGCGGAAAAAAAAATCGAAAAATATTTTTTAGGAAAATAATTTTTTATACTACTCTCCTCACCCCCTTCCCCAAGTCCCCGGCCCATGTTTTTTGTGCTCC